GCGGCGTCGGAGATGCGGTAGTGGCGATGCTTCGCGTCATCCCCACCACTTCCTTAGCCGTCCATGGGCCGGCAAGGGTCGCTAGGGCTTTTTTGAGGTTCACCGGCGGCGAGAAATTGGGGCGGAGGGGGAGGGGAATTGCGGCGGAGGCGGATAGGGTTTGACCCATATCCGAGCGATGAAACTGCATAAATAGCGGTGGAGAGGGTCTTTTTCCGGGCCACGGCAAACTTTTTACAAGCTGGGCTCAGGGTACGGAGTATCTTTTTGGCAAGAAAAACGGGCCGAACTTGTATACTCGCCAGAACTATACGGGTTCAGCCCTTTTACGGGGTCTGCTAGAGATACTCTTACTCTTACTCAGGGTGTATTTGATGCCACAGGAAAAGCAAGGAATTGTAAAAGGCGGTTGGAGTGGTTGTTAGATTTTCTATGAAATGTTGGAAAAATTTCTAAGGATTTAAATCCTCCAAAAATCCTATATTCCTTTGAATCAAAGGAGCCCTAAGTTCCCTAAGTTTTTCAAGCAGAAATGTAAAGTCTCTCATCACAACGGCCACACACGCACGGGCGCAGAGGATCCTTAGCCACCAATTGCACATACACATTTCTTGTACTAGTGCTATACATGTAGCAGCAGCAGTGAGTGCCAAACTCAACGCAGCACGACCAGAGACCCAACTGATAAATACAAGATGTTGCTTCTGTCTTGCTGTCTGTTTGCTTGTGTTAATAGCAAGCGCCGGTGGCAACATCCCTGTCAGTTATAGCACCAGCATGGTCCAGCCACCAGGACAGATACACACACACATACATACATACACACGCTTCTTCAGGTCGCCACCTTGGCCTTCAAGCAGATCTCATCTGGCCGGCGGTGACGTCTAGGCTACTGGCCGCCGTCGCGGTCTGGTCCACCGCCGGCGACGACCAGCCGCCCCGGCCGGCCGGTACGTGTATCATAGTCTGAGTTAGTGCTTACAGATGAGCCATGACAAAAGGTTAATTCAGAAGCCTGCTTGTTTTCTTGTGCTCATGGATAGGTATAAATAATGTCAGGGAAGGGGAAGATGATGCCATGGGAATCTCGAAAGCGTATGTGCTCAACGCACAAGTTGATGGAGTTGTTGGTCACACGCATGGCATGAGATGGATGCAGTGGTGGTGATGAAACCGTGACCTCACACACATTGCCGACCAGTGGAAGGGAAGCTCATTGGCAAGCACAACCTCAAAAGTGTTATTGCTCTTAATTAGGGCACAAGTTGATTAACTGAGACCTTATTCTTTGCTTAGAAATCTTCCAATGTACACACTGCGGTGCGGCGGGCTGCCTCGCGAAGCAACCCGCCGCAAGCCGCGTTTTTTTCTGCGGAAGTTGCAGCCCAAACAAACACGGCGCAAACTAACCACGGATGATGGGGCAACTAACCGTGAATGACAGGATTAGCCTATGCAGCTATGCTCATCTCACCATCCTATATATGCTTAGTTATGCATGGTGGTGTTGTTCAGTTCAACTCCAAGCGAAGCAAGATTACCTGTCAGGTGTAAACACCAAGC